CACACACACACACACACACACACACACACTATACTCACACACACACACACACTCTCTCTCACACACACACACACACTATACTCACACACACACACACACACACACATACACACACACACACACACGTGTCCTACAGACAGAAACACACTGGTAGACCAGAGAAAGAGAGATCGGGTCCAGCAGGTGCAGACCGTATGAATGATTGATCAGATCACAGGCCGGTTTGTGGGTCAAACGACTGGAGTCTGTTCCAATACAAACCCTGAGTTACAGCAGTACATACAGTACGCCACCGGCCAAAAGACTGGAACCATTACGATTACATTAAAGAACAACAAGAACAAAAAAAGAATGTTATCAATGTTGATAACACTCAATATTTTTGCGGAAATCATTCAAAAATGTGGGATAATTAAGATTTTACTGTAGTCTTATTCATCAAGGAGTCAAGGACGCACGCATTAAATGGTTTAAAAGTGAAAGTAAAGACATTTATAATGTTACAAATATTCCTATTTCAAATAGGCTAAATGCTGTTCTTTTGAACTTTCTATTCATCTGTGAATCCTGAAAAATAAAATGTATCAGAGTTTCCACAAAAATATTGGGCAGCTCAACTGCGTTCAACATTGATAATAATCAGAAATGTTTCTTGAGCAGCAAATCAGCATATTAGAATGATTTCTGATGTGACACAATGATGCTGAAAATTCAGCGTTGATCACATAAATAAATTACAGTTTAATAGATATTCACATAGAAAATAGCTATTTACAATTGTAATAATATTTCACAATTTTTACTGTATTTTTGATCAAATAAATGCAGCCTTGGTGAGCAAAAGACACTTCCATCATAAACATTAAAACATCTCAATTATTCCAAGCGTTTGGCCAGTAGTGTACATACAGTATACACAACAAAAGCAGTGTCAGATGAGTCATCAGATGAATGACTGTTAGATTCACATCAAACATGAATCACTTCTGTTCGACAAAACAGCATCAAATGCAGCATTCAAACAGGTTTCTCCTCCTGCATCAGCATTACAAAAACAAACGGATCGACACGAGCCACATCAAACCCAGCGATGCATCCCAACAATCACTGAGGAATCATGGCACACCTGTGTGAATCACACAGCAAACAGAACACACTCTCTCTTCACTCGTACCTGTTCCCAGCCTCCACGATGTGCTGCTTCTTCTCACTGTGGAATCCTTAAGAGGATTTGTAAGGAGCTTTACAAACTCACACAGGTCTGTGATTATCCACTCCAGCGCAAAGGATGCTGGGACACGCAGATTCTGGAAAACTTCTTCAGTTCTGTTCTTCTCAAAAGCTTTACACGATCATAACATAAATCTGTTGGACTGTCAGTTTTAATGGAGTCCGCTGAATCATTAGAAGTGAATCTCGACTGACCTGCTTCCTTCTGCAGGTTCATATAAAAGCATCAATCTTTGTCCATTCAGGTCTGTTTGATAAAGATTTTCTAAATCAGGACTTGCCAGTGTTTTACATCACAAACGCGCTTTTTTACCTTCATACAAGTGGTTTTACATTTGGATCTTTTATTTATGTACTTATTTATTTTGTATAATCTGATTTATTTTATATTATTATTTATCATTTTATTTATTATTTATATTATTTTTTATCATTTTATTTATTTATATTTTTTATTATTTAATTTATTTATATTATTTTTCTAATTTATTTTATTTGTCATTTCATTTCTATTTTTTATTATTTTATTTATTTTTTATCATTTTATTTATTTATATTTTTATTATTTTATTTATTTATATTATTTTTCTAATTTATTTTATTTTATTTGTCATTTCATTTATATTTTTTATTATTTTATTTATTTTTTATCATTTTATTTATTTATATTTTTTATTATTTTATTTATTTATATTATTTTTCTAATTTATTTTATTTGCCATTTCATTTATATTTTTTATTATTTTTTATCACTTTATTTATTTATATTTTTTATTATTTTATTTATTTATATTATTTTTCTAATTTATTTTATTTGTCATTTCATTTATATTTTTTTATTATTTTATTTATATTATTTTTTTATTTTTTATTATTGTAACCATAATGAAGCCCAATATCTCTCCATTGTGTTTCTGCGTCAGCTGTGAATCCATACACTGCCCATTATTCCTCTTTAATCCCGTTATCTCTTCTCTTTGCGTCTCCAGGCCTGTGTGTACCCAGAATCCTCAGCGCTCGCTGACATCACAGACCTGTGTCCTGATCCTATTAAACACAGCTATATTAAGATCTTTATGAGCACCGTGAATACATCAAAGGCAACATATGAAAATTAAGCAAATGAAACCTCTCCTTTAGCAATATGAGGTCAAAGGTGACCAAAAAACGTTAGTCTTCACTGAGACACATTAACTGGTAAACCTCTCAAACACGTCAAGAACACGTCACAGGTCACTCAGAATCAAAAGATAGAAAAAAGACATCATATTCTGTATTTCATGACAACTAATGTACGTATGTAAATGGTAACATCTTCACCCGTGGCATGTAGGAAGCGCTTTAAATTCACTCGTCATCGTCTCTTCAGCGGGATTGTGAAGAGAAGCGTCAAACTTTCCTCTGTTTAGACTTCGTTTACAATCTGCTCCCAAACCGCACGAGGCAAGACGAGACAGCTTCTCTATATAGATCAGCCGTCTCGTCTCGCCTCGAGAATTTTCCAGCGCTGAAAACTAAAGCCAGTAATTAACTCACAATAGAAGAAACGCCTAGCAATCAATCACACACAACAGCGCTGGACCGACCAAACACACACATGACGGGCCGTATCATCACCGCTTAACTGTTTACTTACAATGTTAGTACAGCTCTGTCTCATCATAGCTTTTTCATGATCACTGAAACGCATGTGATTCACGGATTAACTGTTAAGTTTAACCATCATAGAGTGAAAGTTTATCATTTGCATGTTTTGTCTGAGCAGTTTACACATAATTGAGCAGCCTTCATATTAAAATTAAATAAAACCACTTCTCATAAAGAACAAGAACATGGTCTTCTTTTTAATGAAATACCAATGGTTATATAGGCCTTCTTTATAGCAACTTGTTTACCATATTCTTCATTCTTTCAAGCAGACATATTTATTTCTATAAATAAATTTGGTGTCATCTTTAAGGCTACTAAAGTTTTTCAGTCAAGAGCAGTGCGTGATTTTCTGTCTTTCTGTTGTTGCTTGATTAATATCAATGACTCGGACAATAGCAACTAAATTAGGCTGCTGTCCCTTTAAAACCGAATGCACGGTTGCAATGGATGCAATGTACTGATACACGTTCTTCCTACTGTTTACATTCACTTAAGATGTAATCGACTGAGTTTACGTGAATACTCGTCAAAACGGACAATTCGACATAATTTTGTGTGTAATTCTCTGTTCATGCGCCGTTAAAGAGTACTCGCGCGAGTGCTGTGAGAGGCGCTTTCTGTGTGTGTAACGTTATGCTTCAGTGTCTGCACTCAGAAAACCGGACCGAATTGAGTTCTCTTGCATCGTCAGATTTATCCATGTCTGCTCTTCTCTTACTCCCACATATTGACATTTTTGTACGTTTTATGCGACGTGCAGCAAGTGTATGTTAGCTTATGTCCCGCCGGTTCATATGTACGCATCTAACCTCCGAACCACGCAGCAGATTCCTTCTGAATGAATCTCATCCCAAATCGTCCCTCCCTAACATTTTCGTCTCGTTTTTATTCGTTGACGAAAATGTCAATAGATTTACGCCATAGTTTTTGTCATTCAAAAAGAGTTTTAGTTCGTTATCGTCTCGTTGTCGTCGGTGAACAAAATGTCGTTGACGACAATTATGACGAAAATTATGCGTCAACGAAATTAACACGGTAGTAAACACAGTCGGTTATGTCTTAAGTGAATGTAAACAGGTGAGAAAGCAACCGGATGTGTGTCAGTATTAGGTCCGTGTGCATTTGGTCTTAAAGAGACAGCAGCCAATAAATACCTGTTTCTGTCTGCGAATCAAATAACACCACAGCTTTAACAAAGATTAATCTGTATTTAACTTGTGCGGTGAGCACTATTGTGTTTCTTTACACTTAATTATTACACTTCTGAACCTGAATACTAGGGATGCACCGAATGTTCGGCAACCGAAATAAGCGAAAAGGCCGAATAATATGTACTGAACAATGACTAACGTGATCAAATAGAGGCACGCACTAATGCAGCAAACATGTCGGCGGTGTGAAAGTATTTAAAACTATCAGAGAAAGACATTACAAGCACGAAGCACCGACAGCGAGATACTTTTTAGTGCTGCATCACATGTCTCAGATGAGATGAAGAGGTGGCTAATGCTGGTGGTTAGGCAACTGTATGATGATTGAAATCGTGAAATGGCCTCAAACGATCTGCAGGATGTTATATTTTCTAATGCACGCACGAATTGCATGTATTCTGGCAGCGCTGTACGAGCTCGCGGCGCCAGTGTTCAAAGTCGAAAGCGCAAGAAAAATCTGTGCTGAACTTGTTACTCGTCAGTTGCTCAGTAACGTTTTTGTGAATTTTTTTAAAGGCATGTGATCCGTGCGACAAACATCTTCCCAAATTCGTAATGAGAATCATTTATAAAGCTGCATGCTGTTGTCAACAAAAAAGAAGCACTGAGATCTTCCTGCGGGTTTCTGCCAAAATAAAAGCAGAGAAAAAGCAACAACTCCATCAACATTCATAACTGTTAGTATTGTAATTTTTACTGTTGTTCTGTAAAAGAAAATAAAAAAGTAAGAAAATAATAATGATAATAATAATTACCCTAAAACAGCTCTATTAATACATTTATTATAACATTACAGTGTTCAAATTGGGATCTGTAATATATTCTAATGTTTTAAAAGAAGTCTCTTCTGCTCAGCAAGGCTGCCTTTATTTGTACAGTAAAAAATACATATACATACACGAAAAATATTAGTTTACTAACTTATTAACTTTAAGTTAAATTGTGCTTTGTTGGTATAATGTCTGCTAGAATGTTAAAAAAAATGTTCAGTGTTAAGTAAATATTTTTTAAATTGTTGTTTTGTAATTAATTTTCTATTTGAAAAGCAAGACAAAACAGTAAAAAGCACATTTCGGCTATTTAATTTATGCAATGGTGAAAAAAAATGGCAAAATAGGTCTACATGGGGGGAAAATGTGAAAAAACGTGTTCGGTATTCGGCTTCGGGCCCAGCGTTTCATTTTGTTCGGTTTCGGCCAAGAATTTTCATTTCGGTGCCTCCCTACTGAATACTGATATTTGTAACTGTGTTTTGTTGTATTCATCTACGCTTGTAATTTGTGTAATAGTTCTTGTTTTATTACTAACTTTATTAGTTAAGCTAATAGTTTTTGTTGTAGTATAGAAGTACTTAAAGATAGCTTTTTTTTACAATTTATTTGCTGATCCGAAAAATGATCTGATCTGTGACTCAAAATCCGTATATGATCCGAACCGTGAGTTTTGTGATCCGTTGCACCACTACAGCAGCCCCACTCTTTTTTATTTATTATTTTGTCGCAGCCCCACTCGCAGAGTGCAGCCTGCAGGCTAATGATAGGGTTGCTAACATATTGTCCCGTATTTAAAGCATCAAAGAAGTGTCCCGTATGAAAGCTATAGCTTACGGAACACAGTTTGTCCTGTATTCGCAAGCATACACTGTGACCACCAGACCGTATGACATTCTCAATTGATAACTAATCATTCTTTTTGCACAAATCATTGTTTTATTTGAACGTAGCCGTTTGAGGAAGGCTTTAAGACCAAGCGAAATCCTCTGCTGCTTCTGCTTCACCGTGCTGTGTAGCCTATGTAATTTCACAGTATTTAAAATTACTACACTACCTGTGCAGTCACAATTCTATAATGGTAGCCTACAATTTACTCAGGCCGATGATTTTGTTATTTTTTTGTGTGTGTGACATTAAAATTATTTTTAGAATAATTGCACATAAATAGGTTAAGCAAAACAAATGTGATTATTTCTGAGAACTTTTTAACTGCAGGCAGACATACATTTACAGTACAAATATTTTGAGTGTCCCTTATTCTGTCCCTTATTTCCTTTAAAAGAAATGACAACTGTGCCTTATTTTCCATTTCTGAAGTTAAGATTCTGACATCAAAATGAAAGCTCTAGAAAAATGCAATGAATTACCAGGCTGTAGAGAACAGTGCACTATTGCAGACTTATATACTGAGGTTTTAATTACATTATTTTAATATAGTCAGTTATGAACTAAAGTGGGCAGGTCTGGCATGAAACTCCAGGCTGAAAATGAGTCCCACTCTGTCTCTGGTCAGGTCGAATATAGTTTTGAACTGCTCATCCTTCAATAACAGTCTTTGAAAGCCACACCATAACAGATTCATGTGCCGCTCAAACTATTCAGATCAGACTGAAATGATCAGGGATTTTGTTGAAAATATATCTCAGCTGCTGGCATTTGGTTGAAGGAATGATTCAACGACTCACTCACAAATACAGTGAATTGTTTCGTTTCACGGTTCCTGAAGGA